AAATGCATACGTAGGTGCATGTCCACCACTTTGACTACAATATCTTAGATGTCACATCAGAACAGATGAAGAAGGCATCTTGCTTTAAGACCTTACTATTTCTGTTATGCTAGCCACTTTAAAAAACAGAGACATCACCTTGCCAACAAAAGTCTGCATAGTCAAAGCTATGGTTTTTCCTGTAGTGATGTATGGAAGTGAGAGCTGGACCATAAAGAAAGCTGACCACCAAAGAATTGATACTTTTGAATTGTGGTGCTGGAGGAGGATCTTGAGAGTCCCCTGGACTGCAAGGAGAACACACCTATCAATTCTAAAGAAAATCAACCCTGAGTGCTCACTGGAAGGACAGATCCTGAAGCTGAGGCTCCAGTACTTTGGCCATCTCATGAGAAGAGAAGACTCCTTGGAAAAAACCTTGATGTTAGGAAAGTGTGAGGGCAAGAGGAGAAGGGGACGACAGAGGATGAGATGGTTGGACAGTGGCACTGAAGCTAGCAACATGACTTTGAACAAACTCCGGGAGGCAGTGGAAGGCAGGAGAGCCTGGCATGCTCTGATCCATGGGGTCACGAATAGCCGGACACAACTAAAAGACTTAAACACATGGTTTTAGTGATTAACTGCATACATCCTTCTAGGATTTAGAACAAGGCTGTCTGAAATGATATTGTGTTTTGAAAATTATGTGTGCATGTGCATGTGCTGGAAGAGATTGTCTGGAGCTGTGGGGTTTGGTGTCACCAGTATGCAGAGTATATTCCACCTGAGGAAGCTGTTTTGGCTCTAGATCTGTGTCTGGTATCAGTAATGGTCTGGGTGAAGGTGAATAAACTGAAATTTAATCCAGGCAAGACAATGGTGCTCCTGGTCAGTAAAAAGGTAGATTAAAGAATAGGGATGCAGCCTGTCCTAGATGGGGTTACACTACCTCTGGAAACACTACTACACAGCTTAGGAGTGCCCCTGGATTTTTATTTATTTATTTATTTGATTTATACCCCACCCATCTGGTCTAAAAGACCACTCTATTTGTCTCTGAGCCTGGCTGCTCAGGTGTCAGCAGTGGCCAGGGATATATTAGTAAAATTAAAACTAATGCACCAATTGTGCCCCGTTCCTGGAGAGGTTTTATCTGGCAACGGTAACACGTGCCTTAATTACATCTTGGTTAGAGTACTGCAACGTGTTTTATGTGGGACTATCCAGAAACTTCAGCAGGTCCAAAATGTGGCAGCCAGATTGTTTAATCAGGCTGGTCACAGAGATCAAATAACATACACACACAAATGCACACACACACACATCAGTGGTGTAGTGTGGGTTGCCAGCACCTGGGACAAGGCAAGTATTGTGCCTTCTTGGGAAGCAGCAGGAGACGGGGCTCGACCCTGTCAGAGCCCACTCCCCACATGCCCCCCTCCCCATGGCCCGCCCTCTTTGTTTACATTTGGGAAGGGAGGCTGGGCTGCTCTGGGCCACCCTCGCTCGACTGCGGCCAAAACCCGGCCAAAACCCACCGTCACCTGCCCAGAGGGGGAAACAGAGCGAGTGAGGCACCGAGGCAGCCAGAAGAGGCGAGGGGAGGTGTGGGGAGGTGAGATTCAGCTGCTTTCTTGCCTACTGTGTGCTCCGCCTCACCCAGTGGCTCTGTGCCAGGGCTGAAATTTTGCACCCCTAAGAATTTTGCACTTGGGGCATCTGCCCCTGTGGGGGGGGCATGTTCTGGCCACCAGAACAAGAGTTTTTTCAAAAAAAAGAAAAAAGAAAAAAGAAAAAAAAGAAGAGCAGAAATATTTCTTTGAAGCCATAGAAGAATAAAGTCCCAGACATACTGATCCACTGAGGTGGGAGATTCACAAAGGAAACAACTCCAAATATATAGACTTTAAAGCCTTGAAATAAAACACAAACCACAAAGGAAACAACTCCAAATACTTTAAAGACTTTAAAGCCTTGAAATAAAACACAAACACAAATGCAAATAAGTAAGGTCATTACATGGATGCAGTTGTCCAGGGAACCCTCCTGCACAAACCCATTGTGATTCTACTGCCTAAACCAAGATGAAAAGGGCCTTAACACCCTTCATGTGAACAGCAACTCCTGCCTCTCAAAGCTCTTTCTCAATTCAAATCTTGAATCACAGCCTCTTCCTAAAACCTCCCCACCTATTGGGCTGAACCAAAAAGGTTCAATGAACTCTACCCAGCCACAAGGACCAGGGATCATTCCACAAAAAAGACCACCTAAAGACACCCATCAACCACAGTGATAGATAATCTCTCCCCCTTATCACAACAATACATCCACAACAAAAACACGCTGATCAGCCTATCTCCTGAAAAGGACAAAAGCTGTTCCCACAGGTATCCAACTCAACTATCCAACAAACAGCATGGACAAAGTTCCTACTCCAGTTCTCTGAAGATGCCGGCCACAGAGACTGGTGAAACATCAGGAAGAACAACCTTCATAACACAGCCAAAGAGCCCAAAAAACCCACAATAACCATTAGATCCCAGCCGTGAAAGCCTTCGAGAATACATCTTGCAGCTACTTTACCCCTGGGCATCTCCTTTCTTGCGGGTGGGAATGTTGCAATCCAGTCTCATAGCCTGTGCTACATCTTGTCTACAATCTGAAGTGACTTCTGATGAAAGTAAAAGAACTTGCCAAAGCAGGACTGCATTTGAACATTGAAGTGACTTCTGATGAAAGTAAACTTGCCAAAGCAGGACTGCATTTGAACAGTAAGAAGACCAAAAATCTTCAGATTTCAGAAGAAACAGAAATTGTTACAAATGTTAAATATCATTCTTGGAATCATCAATCCAAATGGAAACGGTAGCCAGGAAATCAGAAGAGGACTGAGACTTGGAGGAGGAGCACTGCAGGAATTAGAAAACATCAAGTACAAGAAGAGTCACTGGAGGCCAAGACCAAGATCATTCACATGATATTTCCACTTTGTGTATGTGAATATGAAAGTGTGGTGCTGGAGGACAGCTTTGTGGATAATGGACCAACAGAAAGACAGACAAGTAGAACCTAGGTCAAATCCAGCCTGAACTATTTCTGGAGGCAAAATGGTTGAAACTGAGATTGTTTGCTTTGGGCACAATGTAAGGCAGGATTCTCTGGAAAGTACACTAATGCTAGGAAAGGTTGAAAGTAGCAGGAAAAGAGAAATACGACTTACCCCCTAAAGGTATTTCTGGTATTTGGGACAGAGAGGTGGGAAGGATGGACTTACCCCCTAAAGGAAGACACAGTCTTGCGTTTCCCAAAAAACCCTTCTGGTATTTGGGACAGAGAGGTGGGAAGGGAGGATGCTCAAGACTCCAGGCTAATAGGACCCAAGGAATTCCTTGCTCCTTGTGGGGTAAACATCCTTTTTTGGGCAACACTTTGAGTACCAGTTTGCCTGAATGGAAAATTAATTCTTATTCATTCATCCCAGGAGGTGCCATGAGTTGAACCTGGCTTTCTAGTGCATAACGGTAATATGGAATGCATCCCCCTCCACTATGCCCATACTGGTACCACTGGGCCCAGGGCCATCCTTTCTCAGACCGACTGGCTGAGAGGGAGTTTCCCAGGGCTACACATGGGAGAGTCCCCCCCCCACTCCTGGGAGAGCCAGCATGAGGCACGGGACAGCCAGGAGTGGAGCCGGAGGCAGTTCCTGACTCTGCTCACCTCAGTGGGCCTTTCTCAGGGAGGGAGCTGGGGTGGCAGCTGCCAGGTGCTTGGGGTCATGGGTGAATTTGGATGAACTTGCACCCCTGAGGAAAGGAGGCAGAATGCGCTAGTTTCCTGTCCCTGCGAGTTGAAAAGTGGGGGCATGTTTGCCATCACCTCCCACCCTCGCAGCATCCTCAGCACTTGCTCAACGCTCCTGGGGAGCATTGGTGTCCTCCTCCCGCACAGACGTTTGCTCCAGCAGCCTCCTGCCCAGGGGGCTTCCTTCTCCCTCTGCAGCTCCACGGAGGGGCAGGAAGTTGCCTCCCCTTTATGTGAGGTAGAGCAGAAGAAGCCGATTGCCTTCCCAGTCTGGTCACTTGCCACCCTCGACTTGGACCCTCTTTCTGGCCCCTAAAATGTTGTGCCCACGGTGATGGTCCCTGTGGCCTCATGTTATGCCACCGACTCCTATTACAGCAGCTCCACTGGCTGCCAATCCATTTCTAGACAAAATTCAAAGTGCAGGTTCTAAAAGCAAAGCGTGCTGCTTATATACTGCCCCACAACACTTAAAGCATTCTCTGGGTGGTTTCCAGAGAGTGGTTTCCAATTATGCAAGCTACAAATTTGAAATCAAGTCTTCCTTGTCATAGTCCACCATTCTTGCCCAGGGGTTGGCAAACTGTGGCTCTAATTCCTGTCAGACAACTCCTAGCACTCCTCCCTACGGGCTATTCTGGCCAACAACATCTGGAGCTCTGTGCTTTGCTCCTTACATTCTATCTCAAGTTCAGTCTGGCACTATTTAGACTTATGCTGGATGGGCAGCAAACTGGGTTAGGAATCTGGCATCTGGCTGTGGAGCCAGAGGTTGGGAGTTTAATTTCCTGAGAAGAACCAGCCGGTGTGGAGTCTGAGCACTCTATACGTAGAAGACTCTGGAATGGGTTATCATTAGTCAGAATTGATATGACAGCACTATTCTTCTCCTCTTCCTCCTCTTTATTCTTATTATAGATTCCCTTTTGTAAACAATGTTTTATTTTCATAAATGAAAGCAGTAGCCCTAGCGGTGGAGGAGGAGGAGGAAGGGTAGACCATATTTATCAGTTTAGCCTGAGGAGTGACTGTGAAGCTCAGTCTTTGCCATAAACTATGGAAATCAAGTATAGCAGTAGTAGCTCTCTGCCCAGTCTCATCTGGGTGGAGATTTTGCAGAATCCTTCTCTTACAGATTACAGGAAACACAGATCACTAAGAAGAAAGGCAAGTGAGCCCAGAAGCTAAGGACTCTGCTCTTTCCAAGGCTGCCAATGGAGTGTTCTGCTTTGGTCTGGTTAAAGGAGAGAAGGAAATCCCGGAAGCTGGTACTACTAGTTGTGTTTTTTGCCTTGCTTGTAGACAATATGCTGCTGACAGTTGTGGGTATGTTACACATTGAATCTGTCTCTTAAGCACACTTTCTCAGTATTACACTAGAGGTGGTATACAAGATATAGATTAATGGGCCACTTGGACCGTGCCCTCTTGTATTCTCCCCCCCATGCACAGATGGAGGAGCCTTCAACCCAAGCAAATTTACCTAGTTGCTCATTGTGTGGCTCTTCTTTATTTTCTAGATTTCTTTATTTTCTTTATTTTCTAGATTTCTCAGAATGCCACAATATAGCACCGCCTAGTGGCATGGTGGGAAATCACGGACGGCCAAATGAACTCCCTCTCTTTGGTTAAACTCTGTCGTACTTGGATTGGCCAAAGAGTTTTTCATCGCCATGCACATGCCAAATCTGCTTATCTATGCGAGAATGTCATTCTCCACCTCCTGTGGTTGCTTGCTAATATATTTTTCAATGTTTATACTTTTTATATTTCTGTTCCTCTATATCCTTCTTGCACTTAACATGGTCACAAGTGTCTGTCTATTCAGATAGCAGTCTATGCATCAAATGTCGTAGGCAGAAGTCATTATGTCTAACAAGTGGTCTTTAAAATGAAAGAAAGCCCTTTTGGCATTTTGCTGTCTTTTCTTCCTGAACACATTATGGAGAGGACTGCCAACATTCCTGAAGAGTGCCCCAACTGAATGCATTCTGGGAGGGAAGATGGATGACAGGAGATAGCTGATGGCATCAGCTTAAGCGCTCTTTTTTGCATGATCAACAGCTGCAAAAGAAAAAAACAAAAGAAAAGGAAAAATGGGGGGGGGATCAATTTAAGAAACACGAAATAAAAGATAAATCCAAGAAAACAATCACAAGAAAAACCAATACAATGGTAATTTAAATGAGTAAAAACAGAATAACAAAGTGAAAATGCAACCTTTTGCACACTTTTTTCTTCAGTACGGATGGGCAGGGGAAAGCAGCTGATCAATTTAGGGTGGTGTCAAAAAGGAATTAAGATTGTAGAGGACAGATCTATTTTGGTAAAATGTTTGTTTTCTTGCTAAGAGTTGTCTGTGAATAAGGCATTTCCCCTTAGTTGATGCCTATCCTGTAGAGCAGCGGTCCCCAACCTTGGGCCTCCAGATGTTCTTGGACGTCAACTCCCAGAAATCCCGGCCAGCAGAGGTGATGGTGAAGACTTCTGGGAGCTGTAGTCCAAGAACTTCTGGAGGCCCAAGGTTGGAGACCACTGCTGTAGAGAGTTTGGTGCTTTGAAGATCCATCTGGATATGCAAGGGGTATATTTTTATTTTGAGGGTTATTCTATCTTCTATTACTTCTGAACTGTTAGCTTAGGACAATTTATTTGCATTGTTTTATTCAAGGTTACATTATAGCCAGCTATTTTTAAATCAGCTACTAATATAATTATAGTTTGTATGCCCACAATAGCAGATACTGGAATTATTGGCTAAAATCCCATTGGTATTGCTCTGACTGTGGAAGGTTAATGATGTCACCAGCAGAGGGAGATTTTTTTAATAAAGAAAAAGTTCCTCTTTGTTTCTTGCAGTTGTTTTGACTTGCAAATAATCCCTTTCATCATATGGGAGCTGCAGGATTGGAGGGTGAAGCCTTTCATTACCAAAAATTGTCATGTCATAGGCATCCTTCAGTCTCGAGAGACTATGGTAATGTGCTCTGTATGGAGGACTTGGAACAGCGTCTAGTGTTTTGATGCTGTACGCGAAGCTGGACTGTCCTCTCCAGGGCACGAAGCCTGGGTAAGATTGATGCTGCTACATTACATTATTCCCTCCTTCTGTCATGAGGTTCCAATGGCTTCCAACCAATGAAAAAGACTGCAGTATTTGCAAATTAGAAATCCATGGAAGAGAAATGGGATTACTGAAAATCCCCTCCCCCGGTAACATCATCACCCTTCCTCAAGTTTAGCAACACCAACAGGATTTCAGCTGTTATATTTATTACATATTTATTTGGCATGTTGTGATTTGTACCATGTGTGCCAGAAGTGCCGTATAACCTTCTGACCCCTTTCTTTTCAGTGCCAATCATTCCTTCCTTCCTCTTTGCCACCTACAAAAATGCTAGCCGCTCTGTTCTTCAGACCACAGTTCCAATGGTTCATATGATTTTGACAGCTGCTCCACATAACTCAGCATTCTCTGACTACAACACTACAGCACCAGCCATCTCAGATGACATTGCTAGCAGTGTGACAGTAAATACAAATGAGAACCAAGACAGAAATGCATCTCATCTCCTCATGAATCCTTTGCCACTGAACAACAGTTGTGCAGATGAGGCAGAGTACCTATCAAATGAGAACATTCCCGTTGGATTGCTTTTTGCCTCAAAGCCTTTGATGCAGCTGATTGCCAATCCCTTTGTGGGACCTTTAACCAACAGGTAGGGCAGCTTTTGTATCATGTCCTTTATTTTTATGCCTATGTGAAAGTGAAGTTGCCACTTAGTCTCTGCCCAAAAGCTGGACAAAAGAAGACACAGCTGAATATAATTGCATTTGCTAATTTATATGGACAGGTGAAAAAATCTGAAATCATTTTTATAATTTAAGTGCAGTTATAATGTGTATCACCAGAGGGGGACAGACTGTGACCAGATGACTTTTGAAGCTACTAAGTCTGCTGTCCAGCTGGTGGGCATTGCTGTAGCCTGAACCAGATGCAAGATAGCCTACAATTGGAGCTCAAAGCACATCAATACTGCAGACAGATGAATGAGGCTAGTCTTCTGTGCTTGTGAAATCAGACTACAAAAGAATCATGTGCATGAATCTGAGCACTAAACAGATAAACTGATTTCCATAATCCCTGAGGAGCTTCTGCTATGGCACTCAACTACTTATATCATGTTTTCCCGAAAATAAGACAGAGTTTCATACAGTATTAATTTTTGCTCCAAAAATACATTAGGGGTGATTTTCAGGGGATGTTTTATTTTCTTCATATACAGCCATCTACATTTATTCAAATACAGTCATGTCATCTTCTTCTGGTTGCTGCACAATGGTGGAGGGCAGGGTTTCACTTAACTGGGGCTTATTTTGGGGATAGGGCTTATATTACAAGCATCCTGAAAAATCATACTAGGGCTTATTTACAGGTTAGGTCTTATTTTCGGGGAAACAGGATATCATTCAACAATTTCCCTTTTCCAGTTGAGAGCTATCTCTAACATCTATTTCTGACCTAACTGCATATAGATAACTTTAAGGTCCTCAGAGGATGTCTTTAGGCTTGTTATATCAGTTTCTATAGTCTGACAGGATGGGTGGATCTATTGACTGAAATCCTATTGTGCAGCACTAGAGCAGACCCATTCAGTCAGTGATAGGGTGAGTCAATGGATCTATAAGGTCCATTTTTATTAAAATGAGCCTATTCTAGCTGAGGCCCCTGAAGCTGCTCAGTTGATTCCAATCCTTCTGTCTTTCTCTTTTATCTAAAAAAAAAAGTTATTTATACATGCCTATCACTTAACAGGGAATACAGACCCATAGATCTTTTTCTCTGCCCGTAGGATAGGATATGGCATTCCCATGTTTCTTGGATTTGTCATCATGTTCCTCTCTACAATCCGTGAGTATTGTTTGCTTCATGACTGGCCTTCAGGTTTCTTGTCCACCAAACAAAGAACTAGAAATTTGTGGCCCTCCAGATCTTGTTTGAATTGTAGCTCCTATTGTCCTTCACCATTGGCTATGCTGGCTGGGGCTGATAGGAGTTGCAGGCCAGCCAACAATATCTGGAATGCTATTTTAATAAATTAATCACATAGCTCTGGGTCAATGAAATGACTTGCTTGTCAATTAAATGGACATATGAATAAAGCCAGCATTTTTTCTGATGATACACACTTGTGTTGTAAAATTTTGTGATTCTTTTTCCCAGCTGGCTCAGTATCCCATGGCTACTGAGCACTGGGCCTTTTAATACATACTTGCATCTTTCCAATTGATTTTAATAGATTTATTTGTACTTCTGTAAAACTCAGAGTTTGCACTAAGACAATGATGTTAGGAAAATTTAAGGCTATAGGAAAAGAGGGAGCTGTAGCTTGTATAGCTCAGTGGGATGGAGTGCCCGGCTGCAGAGGCAGAAGCCAGGAGTTTGACTCCCCTCTTCCCCTCCCAGGAGTGGGGCCAGCCAAGATCATCTGTGTCACGACCCAGCCTCCTTGTGGAGAGCACTTGGTCAGCGGATAGAGAGCAATTAGGGAGTCTGAATCTCCTATACAACTGGGTAGAGTCCAAATGACCTCAGCCAGGAAGAATTACAGATCCCTTCTCACAAGTCTATCCTAAAAGATGCTTGCACTTAACTAAGTTCAGCAAGAACATACACATGAGCTTTGCAGTCGCCAGATCTATCAAAACTCAGGCAAATAGGACTCTGTAGCATTCTGTGGCCTCACAATCTTTCTGGAAGCAGCAATTAGGGAATCTGAATCTCCTATACAGCTGGGTAGAGTCCAAATGACCTCAGCCAGGAAGAATTACAGATCCCTTCTCACAAGTCTATCCTAAAAGATACTTGCTTGCACTTAACTAAGTTCAGCAAGAACATACACATGAGCTTTGTAGTCGCCAGATCTATCAAAACTCAGGCAAATAGGACTCTGTAGTATTCTGTGGCTTCACAATCTTTCTGGAAGCAGGCTCAGCAGATGTGCTGTTCAAAAGACCATTCTTAAGGATTTTTAAGAATAATTTTTATTGAAAAAATTAAGTGTTTATAGATATTCAGTTTGATGCATAATCAAAGCATAAATTACATTTCCACAGAGTATTGCAAAGACATCTAGGTATCATTCACTAAACAAAAATATAGTTAAAAATACTAAAAAGCTTCTTTAAGGGTAGGCATAGGGTATAGCCCCCCTCTCCTTCTTTCTGAGGCTCTACATTCCAATTCCCTTCAATCTAACATAAGGGAAAAAAGACTCAAAATGGCTCCTAAGCCTCTCTAAGGAACAGTCCACATGGCACAAACTCAATTTTCTACTTTCTTGGCACCACCCATCTTCTTCATCTCTCAAGGTGTTGACCAATAGGCGATTGGGTAAGTCCATTCTCATCCCACCTTCGGTTCCCAGCAGAAATTCAGGTTTTGTTTTCCTTCTCCTCATCTCAGTCCGGATCAAGACAACATGTTATGTCTTCACGCCTTATCGTATCCTGACATGGCTGGGTACAAGGAACTTTCCAATCGGCTCATGAAGAAAACATTACCATCATACAAAATCGTTCTTACACAGAACTAATATAGATCCATTTTACATTTCTTCACAACTACATAACCCATCTTCATACATGCTTTTAACCCACATAATCTCAGTCATGACAATCTGAAGTGTGTGTGGCAGACAGGGTAAGCTGCAGGATCCAAGACTGTCACCAGAAGGAGAAACTGACAAAACATTTCTGAGCCCTTTATACAGTAGTTAGAAAACTATGGTAAGGTTGCCATAAATTAGCATCAACTTGGGGGGCACATAATTGATTAGGAAAAGAAGTGCTAACATGAGATAACTTCATTCCATAAAAGAAGCCTTGGTTCCTAGTCCATAAGATCTGATGATGACTGCTTATGATGGGACCTTTTGAAGTCATTAATTCATAGTAACAATAAGTCATTATAGGGGACTGGAATGCTAAAGTAGGGACTGAGATAAAAGGAACAACAGGTAAATTTGGCCTTTGAGTTCAAAACGAAGCAGGGCAAACGCTAATAGAGTTTTGTCAAGAGAACAAGCTGGTCATCACAAACACTCTTTTCCAACAACACAGACACTCTTTTCCAACAAAATAAGAGGCAACACTACACATTGACATCACCAAATGGGCAATACCAAAACCAGATTGATTATATTCTCTGCAACCA